TGATGGTACAAGGTATGCTTGAATTGACACGGATGTGATAAGCCATACATATTGATATTCCATAGAGAAGATGATCATGTTGCTTGTCTTCTATACGGCCCATTAAGTCTGCTCAGTGTTAAAATGCTTTCAGGTGTTGCTGTTTTCTTCTTTTTTTGTTCCAGCAGAGCTGCAGTTTAGTTAAATGCAGCATTTTACACATCACTGCGAAGTAAATATTTTATCTCCATTTCTGGTTGTTAGGAGCTGATCTGTGATCTTCAGCTTGCTTTACTGCTAGTGCACCTGGTGAACTGAAGTGATCAGACAAATGTACGTATGTGGACAAGATCGTGTGTATGTGTGCGTGCACGTATGTGCATACACACCGCGGCTCAGTGCCTGACATGTTAGACCACAGTCTGATTGGATTCCTCGCTCCAGAAACATTAAACTCACTGACTCGTGGACAAAAGCTGAGAGATGTGTGTGTGTGTGTGGGTGTGTGCCCAATATTTTTTTGGGCTCTTTTATTGTCCATTTGTATATTTGTGGCTGTTTGTGTTTTATTAAAGATTCTTTATCTTTTAATCTCTGCATGTGCGTGTATGCATAGCTGTTTGCTATGTTCTGCTCCATGCTGAAAGAGAGTTCAGTTGTCCTGATCAAGGTCAACGAGCTGTGCCCTATCTTATTGGTTCATCTATTAGCTGTTAACTGGTGGGTCTATGGATGGATGGAGTAAAAGCTTTGACCCCATGTTAAGCACAGTCACCTACAGGAGAAAGTAACCGTCAAGATGGAATTGAGTACAGCTTACTGATTACCTTTTTAAAATTGTAATTGGTCCACTAATCTGTTGGATGGGTGTGTTTAATTAACAGTCAGGAGTCTTAACTCTTTCAGACTACAACATCCAATATTTCTATTCTCAGATCTATCAGTGTATCCATTTCTAAGGGTTCGTTTAAGCCTGAATGAATGCAGAGGCCACCAACAGTAATCAACCAAAGACCAAAGTCTTTGGTTGATTACTGTTGGTTGATTAAACAACACAGCGTCGGACGTCACGATGGAGTAATGTTTTGCCTGCTAGGTTAGTAAGTTAATCACTACCATTTTTTTTTTGTTTTTGAAAATTTACTTCATGCAAAGAACACCAAAGCAAAAAACTTCAAAAGGGTTGTTTAGAGCAACTCGTCAATGTTCCGTTGTGAATGTAGGATGCCTCGATATCTTATCATGTACTTCCAGCCTCGGTGGATGATGTTGAGATGAAAGCTCTGTGCAGGTCATAGCGTCCTTTTTCCTTAATTATTATTATTATTATTCAAACTCGTCAGAGAAAGGCCGGCCAAAAGGTTCGAACTTTTAGTCTTGCTGTTATTGACAGCACTAATCACTTCATCACGCTGACACGGCCAAAATGGCTTTTCAGCATCAGCAAATTGTGTTAATTATAAGTGCAATAACTTTAAATTGTCATTCACAGAGTGGGCAGTCAGTGATGCAAAAAATAACAGTCTAAAGATCTCTGTAGGGTGTTGTTAGAGCTGGTTATGTGAAGCCAGAAGAAACAGAGATAGAACTGTGGTTATCTGAGACAAACCTGCTACTTTCTGAAAAAGACTTTAGTAGTTTTGGTCATATTAGGCGACATTTTCACTTACAATACCCGTGACCTAAGAGGCAAAAGAAAATGGCTTTGCAAGAGTCTAATTTTATAAGCTAATTTGTTTGAAGTGCTTTTAAGAACGCCTGTGTTTGAATACTTTAATTCCCTCTTTGGAAAGAACTGTGCACCTATTTAAAGGTTTGAAAGACGAAATTCTTTTTCTGTGTTAACTGGTGTGGTTTAAAAAAAGGAAAAGGGACAAAAAAGGTTTTAATGTTACGCAGTGTCAATTTGGATCATTTGTGCTCTACCAATGTGGAATCCAAATATGACGTTATTGAATTTATGCGACTGATCATATCTAAATACTCATTACATATGACCAACCCTGCCTAATATACTGTTGGTCCTTCACATATTGACAGGGCTCCAAACTCCCTGAGGACAGGACTCCTTTGAAACTAACAGATTCATGGTTTATCACTTTTTTGAGGTGTGAGACACAAGAATGTCAGAGTCACTTGGGTGGCTGACTGTGAGAATAGGCTGTTTATTTTCTATATTTAATTTCCAGTTTATATCCCAGGCCCTGATATGCAGCAGTGCTGCCAGATAGTTATTGCTGCTTGTGTCGTACGGTACTGTGCAGAAGTCTTGAGCCACCTCCTAATAGTTTCCCTCCAAAGGTGCCATCTCTCAAATAGCTATTGGCTAAAAACCTGGCACATTAGGGCATGGTGTGCAGTGCATCCTTAAAGACTTTGAGCAGATGAACAGTATTTGAATGTAATGTCTGACAGATATGGGAAGAAATCTAGCAAAGACCTGACACGTGAGCTAAGAAATGCATCTCACCAAACTACTGTTCAAGAAGTCGTTAATAAGGATCAAAACAAGAATAAAAGAAGTAGTAGTAGTATTTTTGGTTCAAATCATCAATTACAAGAAAAATCTTTCCCCAGTAACTTTACTGTATAAAGAGCTAACATCGCCAAAATGTCAGGAGTAGTTAGTTACTACAAGAAGTGTTTGTGAACTAAAAATCAAGAATGTGGGATACTGTTTGTCCGTGATTTGGAGAGCCCAGCGCTGCTCCCAACACAGCGAAAACCAATTCTGCGGGGGAGACCTACCTCGGCACTTGTGCAGATGAAGCCAAAGGGAAGATATGCTTCACCATATTTTCTACTCTTTGGCTTAGAATGAAGTTGGTTTGGAAACATATTTGGCATCTCCTGCTTTGCGTTTGTGTGGAAGCCCCGTCAAAAACCTGTCAATTATGCTAACAGCGTCCAAGCATGTTTTTTGTTTTCTTTCTTTCTTTTCATACCGCGCCCCCCTGCAATGGCTCTGCCCCACACTTTGGGAGCCTCTGATTTAAGCAATGTTTGATCATCTCGACAGAGAACAGAACAAACGGTAGCCAACTTCCACAGAGAAGCTTTGAATGTCCTTCAAGAAGCCTGGAGAACTGTTCCTGAAGGCTAATTAAAGAATTACAAGTAAAATTTACCTAAGAAAGTTCAGGTCGTGTTGAAGAATAAAGGTGGTCAAAAACCAAATATTGATTTTCAAACTTTTTAGAATTGTAGAATTTGTAGAATTTACTGTATTTTCAGATATGTTTGCACTTACAGAAAAACAAGGGGTAGCTCATATACACAGTGCACTTTAGGTGCGGGTGTATATTGCGACTCATTAGTTCCTTACAAAAAAGCTTCTATTGTTTTGATGTCACTTTAGCATCTAGGGAAAAATGCTAGGGAAAACCTAAACTTCATTATAGTGTTAAGACAAAAAAAAAAGCTGCCTACTTATTTTTGTAGTAGAAGGAAGAACTATTATGAGCCAAATGTCTCTTTTGTCATTCAGTCTCCCAGTGGGAACCATACTAACAAGCTTCTTATCCCAGCCTTGCTGTTTATATCCCACACACCTGGCTGACCAAGCCTTCTGCTATAATGATGGACTCTTTAGAGCATAAAAGGTGTTTAATCTAACTAGAAACACATAATCGTCCTCGGGGATCTAGCAAAAATCTGTTTGAAATGTTCATAAAGAAAGTGTGTCTCGCTGTTGATGCAGAAAGTTTGAAAACAGTCCGTTTGTAACTTTATGCATCTTGCACAACCGTACTTTCTGCTGGGGTACTGCTGATGTTGTTTTTGTGCTCATGTTAATTAAATTACTTAGATCTGAGTGGGGATGATTAGCATGCTAGTAGTAATAGCTAACAGGGAATCCGATAGCCTATTATCATAATGAGTCTCTTTGGCGTACTGTGTGGGTTGGTAAAAAAAAAAAAAGAGAGAGAGAAAATGAAGAAGTTATGCCGGTCGCCCAGAGAGGAGCGTTGCATCAGTGAAGTGGTTTGTTTTGATTTTTTTCCCCCTTTTTTTTTGAGGAGATTATATGATTCAAATTGATTTGTCCACCCTGTCTGGAATTTGATAATGCCACAGCTGAAAGGAAACATAAGCACAGTAATATAAAACAACACCAACAGAACAACCACATGCACACTGAAACACAACACATTAAAAGCTGAAATGGCATCATACTTTTCGTCGCAGGTCTTTAGTTACCATCCTGGAAAAAATCAAAATGCAGACATGGACATGAATATTCATTCCTGACAGGTGTTTCTGTCCAAACATTCACACACATGTATAAACACACACACACTCTAGGAGTGACATTTCTACAGCTGTGCTCATCATACAGCCATACATATACGCTGGACTCCTGCTGCCCTCGACCTCGTCCCATACATGGTCAGCAGCATCTTTATATGTTGAAAGTATTTGGAGTCTCTTGAGGTGGTGTTTACGTTTTTTAAATATTTCATCATTTATACTTTTTCTACAGGGCAAGTTTATGTTTTCTTCCTGGTTCTTTATCCCTTCGCTTTGTTCTTGCACCTGCCGCATTTTGTCTTGTCAGACTTTCAAGGAAGCTGTGCTGGTATTCTTCAGCGCCACGCAACTGTCGACAGTTTGATCAATCTTTCCTTTTGATTCTTGCCAGTCACTAAAAGCTCCAGGGCTAAAAAGGAAGCTGTGGAACGACTCTCTTCTTGTTAACTCTAAGTTTTAACATTAACATTACTACCATCTGTTGAGAAGGCGTAAAAAGACATATTGGTGTGCATATTCCCACCTCTGATTGGGTTTGATTAAATGCAGAGATAAGTTGAACTATAGCCGTCCTTTAACTCGTATTTCCCCTGATCTACTCCCACTCTGAATGGATGTTTCTTAATGACTTGAAAAATGGCTATTTACTAAAGATATTCTGTAATTATTAGACTGATATTAATTTGCTAAATATTACAGGTTATAATAATCAATGAGAATTAAATAAAATACATATACAATTATAATTTAATGTACTTTTCCTCCTGCAGATGGCAAGGCCTGCCCCTCCAAAGACTTCCAGTGTCGTAACGGGAAATGTGTGGCACCGATCTTTGTGTGTGACGGAGACGACGACTGTGGGGACGCCAGCGATGAGGAGAAATGTTCGGCTCCCACCTGTGGGCAGCATGAATTCCGCTGCAACGACTCGGAGTGCATCCCCGCCCTGTGGAGCTGTGACGGCGACCCCGACTGCAAGGACAAGTCAGACGAGTCCATGGAGCGCTGCAGCCGGAGGACGGAGCCCCAGAAACCCCACTGTCTGGTGAGCGAGTTCCAGTGCGGGAGCGGCGAGTGTGTCCATTTGAACTGGAAGTGTGACGGCGACCCCGACTGTAAGGATAAATCAGATGAAGCAAACTGTCGTAAGTCAGCTTTTTTCTTTTTGCCACCATGTGCTCCCCCTGTGCCGTTCGCTTTATTGTTGTTCAAAGCAATTAGAAAACATAGGAACGAGTCACACCACTGGCACGCTCCTTAATCAAAACATCTTTTTTAATTATCTTTGATTATTCCATAACAACGGGCACAATTCAACTCTGATCAGTCTGAGGAGAGTGGTAGTGAAGTAACTGATCAGCCTAAAGAATCCAGTTTTATTAATTTTAGAAATTAGGATGAATGGTTTGTATTAGTACTTTTGGATATTTTGTGTCATTTATCTTTACTTGAAGCTAATGCCAACTATCGCCTTAAATGAAAGTTACGGATGGATACCAAAAAGTAATCAGTTGTTTTGTAGAGCAGCAGCTTAAATGTACTGGAGGACTATGCTTTGAAGACCGGCTCTGCTCTGAACAAAGACTGTGTGACAAATGTGTCACCAAATGACTAAAGGAAGATCAATTCTAATTTTATCGTGACGATCCACAAATGTGTTGCCATGCAACCATGTGACCTGTGCAAGAAGAGACAAACCCATCTGAGCCTGTGTAAGGTGAAGGTCCTTCATCAAGCGTGACCCCCATGTGGTCTCCTCTTCACATGCCCACACACCACTTAGAGAGATGACAGCAACTTCACACATAAGACATGATACAAGCACAGTGCGCAGCCGCACGCGCAGCCAGGTGCAAGCTCTAACACACACATGCACCCACAATAATAAGGTGTTAGTACAAAAACTAAAGCAGAAATCACAGAGTACATGTTGTTTCAGTGTTTAGATCACGGCTTGCCCTTTATCACAGTACACACCCTCCTTATCCTTAAATTAATGGCTGCTGCACTCCAGACAGAATTACATGGATCTGTGGAGTCGTCTTTTACGAGATTGGAATAATTATGTAGGTAAGCACTACACGATTGGTCACTTTTATGTGGTTATATTTTGACAACAATGTCTAAATCTGTGACATGGTCGAAACGTCACTCTAAAGCCTCGAATCTGCTTTCTGCAGGTATGCTAAAATCCACTCAGGTCTGAATGACACAAATTTCATTATTAGACTTTGAGCATCGATCTTTGAGGATGCCCGTGTGCCTGCCTGTGCGTGTTATTGTGCAGAGTTGTCTGTGGAGAATTGACATGAGTGTGCACCAACTATGCATGCACCACAAAAGACCTAAAGGAAATATATATAACAGGAAATGACTACTAACCCTTCATGTAATCAAGACTTGTCTCAGCCATAAATGTAAATAAAAGTCAAACATGGACGATGATATGTCATGTATTGGTTTGAGAACTATGACCTTGATATTGGTGTTTCAATCAGACCCACTTTAGTCTCTTTGACTGGACCTGAGCATGTTTTAATGAGAGCTTTGACTTGATTAGCTAATGCTAACACCGGCTTTGTTTGGAAGTTCAATGCATTATTCACTGAGTTATTAACTGCTAGCTTGGAGAATTGGAGGCTGAAAATAAAATTCACTAAACATGTAAACAGAACAGCCGACAGCTTAGAGTATATTTTATTAAAACAGACTATTTTCCTAAAATAATTAACGTATTTATTATTTTAAGACAGGAAAATATCCTTGCTACCAACTGATTTCTTTTCCAAAACATTTCAAACTGTTTGCTAACTGCCTAAAAAACATTTAAAAATAGACCAAAAATCTCTCTATTAACCAAAAAAAAAAAGGGAATCTGTCCTGGGTGTACCCTGCATCTCACCCCACGATAGCTGGGATAGGCTGAAGCCCCCACAGCGACCGTGATAAGGTTAAGCAGAAGAGAATGGAGGGATGGCACTTTAAACGAGAACATAGAAGACAGCTTAGCACCGTTTGAGTGTAAATGAGGATTGTGACAATAACTGCATACTATACCTCCAGTTTGTTCTTTCCTCGTTCGCCTCGTTTCCATCAGGCTCTGTTCATTCCCACACACGTGCCCCTTACGTATCATTTGCCATCTTATTCTAAACATCTGTCTCAATAACCTCGAGCTTCTTCGCGGACACACTGAGACAAGCGACTGTGAGCAGAGTGACAGAAGGTTAATGGAAATGAGAAATGGTCACATCGTATCGCAACTTTCCTCCTTTCCGTCCTGTCAACGTTTCCGCAGATGGCAATCCATTATTATAACTATTCATCCCGGGGATTTATCATTATTATCTGAGCTAACATCCCAATAATTTGGCTGAAGGAATCGGCACATTTTGCGATGGTCCAGGCTTTAGCATGAACATCTGTTTGTCTTTACTTTATTTATTTTTTGTCTGAGTGTTTCAAAGTATGTCTCAGCTTCCCCTTTTCCTGGCATTCACATGTCCTGCTGCAAGCTTGCATTTAATTTTGCTCATTTAATAATGCATCTATGAGCCTGAAAACCCAAATGTGCCCAAACCGTTGTGTGTGGCTGTGTTAATACCATATTTCCTGATACGGAGATTGTCTGCCGTGTGTTTTTTATCGGCTCCACAGTCATTGATCATGTCTGCCTCTGCTCCGTTGGCGGAGCCAGTCCAAAACACAACACATGAATAATTAAATAGCCAGTTAAAAAGACAAATGAGTTAAATAAACCGTCCCTCCACGTTAGAGCAAGCACAAATGTCTATATGCACATTTACATGCACACACCTTCTCAATAGGTCACTAGATGTGGGTTTGCTTCAGATGCTGGATGAATACATGAATGCTTTTCTTTTCAGTATAGCAGTTTATGAAGATTTATGCCCTATCAAGAGGTGCGTATGATAGATTAGAGCTGAATACGGGAATGCAATGTGAGAGGAAAAGGGCTGAATTTGACTTTGTGAACAATTTAAAATGCTCTGAATTTTCATTGTGGAACTTTATCATTGTCTTTTCGTGGATTAGACTAATGGGAATACTCAGCTAATTCTTAACTCTGTGTGTTTTGTGTTCCTCAGCACTGCTTACGTGCAGACCTGATGAGTTCCAGTGTGGCGATGGCTCCTGTATTCACGGCACCAAGCAGTGTAATAAAGTTCACGACTGTCCGGACTACAGTGATGAAGCAGGTTGTGTCAACGGTAAGCGTCTCGAGAGTACGGAAAAGGAGGACGGCCATGAAACAAGCAAACATCTCGATTATTATTAGAAGAACATATTGTTCTATTTTGTTTTCCTCCCAATAATGTTGGCTTTTCTTCTAAATGCAGAGTCAAAATTCCAGATTTTATTTAAAGTTTCAGTTTATGTTTTCAGGCCTTCTGCTTCTCGCTTCTGCCTCTTTTCTTAAACTTCATTTACTCAAAAAAAAAAGTGGCCAATTACAACTTTAATACTTTGAACTAGCTTCACAGGAGCTATAACGAAGAGTAGCACAGTTGGCCTCTCTGGTGAGTTCGGCCCCATGAGAAACTTTAATCAGAAAAATGTCCACCAAAAGATAGGCTTAGAGGCATGGGAGGATAAGAGGCTGTGAATCTCCACTGCCTTAAATCTCCCCTGTGTTCCCTCCACTTAAATCTCCTGAGTGGTCGAAGACGGAGGTGATGATTCAAAGAATTGCAAAGAAGCTACAGCGATATTTTTATTTACTGTAACAACTCAGCTGTGTATAACTTGCACAGAACAGATATGTAGCAGCCGAGTTGCTTCGTGCATTTAATAGACACTGGATGTCACATCTGCTACTCTTCTACATTTTATTTAGCTTCTACTTTCAAGAGAGTTAAAGGGCCTCTTTGATGGGAGCTCAGCTGCCTCTGGCTCATCTGTACTTCAAACCGTATAATGCATATATTATCCATGAAGCCTTTCTCTTTTTTTGAGCTTGTGTTTACTATTAGTTACCATACATATGATATGTCTTTCTCAGTAAGCTTCCCTAATTAGAATAGCGACAAACATTTGTTAACCTCCACTTAACTCCCTGTAGCCTGTCTTATTTATAGAACTAAGCAATTTATTGATCAAGCTTTGCCTAAAGCTTCTCACTGAGAGTCAAAAGAGTCAACCTTTGGGCTAATTATCTCCACAGACCACAAGAAACATCGACAGCATTGCTTTGCTGACATTTACTGTATCTGCATTAGAATCTTGTACTCTACAAAATCTGACGCGCCAGAGGCTTTCATCACAGTAGGGTTGAATTATTGTGTTGCCAAACACTAATTTGGTGCTCAATGTGATTAAAACACTTGCTAAGAGTCTAGGCTTTTAAGTCATCTGATGTCTTCACTACAGTTACAAAATGCGACGGGCCCAAAAAGTTCCGCTGTAAGAACGGGGAGTGTATCGACAGCAGCAAGGTGTGCGATAACGTGAAAGACTGCAAGGACTGGTCAGATGAACCTGTGAAGGAGTGTGGTAAGATTCTTCGTGTTTCTTTACACACACACATGTTAATGTGAGAACACTGACACAGACACTCTACCAGGGATCATTAGCTTGTTCAAATGTGGGTGGTCACTCTTCTCTATGTAAAGGAGATTCATTTGATCAAGGCTGAGTAAATCAGGATATTTCTCAACTACCTTGTTATGATGAAAGACCCAAACGACTCTGCCCTCCGGTGCGATCTTAACCGAGAGAGCGTGACACGACTACGTTACCCATAAAGAGCCACAGAGATTATCCAAACAGCACAGATAATTACTGCTTCCTCAGCTTTGGTCACACATTTGACACCACAAGCAGTGCAGTTCATCCGCAATCAGATGTAAGCGGCTGAGAAAAGTATACTTATTAATAGAATCGTATCAAATTAATGAAACAGAGGGAATTGAAGCCTGAGATTTTACTTTATGTACACGTTAAAGTGTCTGAGGTTATTAAGAGACGCTGCACTTGACCCATAGCCTCTCTGAAGTGGAGTGGCCTGGCATCTGTTGTGTCAGTATAAAATTATATGTGTGCACACTGCCTTTGCATCTTCCTCTAACCTCACAGCTGATGGATATATTCAATTCGATTTTATTTTTACGGCGCAAAATCACAGCAACAGTCAAGGCTTTATATTGTAAGGTAGACCCTACAATAATACATACAGATAAAAACCCAACAGTCATATGACCCCTTACGAGCAAGCACTTTGGCGACAGTGGGAAGGAAAGCTGGAAGAAACCTCCGGCAGAACCTGGCTCAGGGAGGGGCGGCCATCTGCCGCGACCGGTTGGGGTGAGAGAAGAATCTGCCATGATTCCCATGATAAGAATTAAATATGATGATCTGTGAACTGGAAGTTAGCACACATCACAGCCAAGAAGATGGCGCTGAGTTAAGCCGAGCCTACACAGTAATATCACTTATTAGCAGTAATATAGCTTTATCTTATTTGTGAATGACATTGCCGGATTATTTTTGGTATTTAGTAAAACTCTGAATCTTACTCACTCATTCTGTGTATATGTGTGTCTATGTACATCGATCCACAAATTGATCCATAAATCGATGTGTATAGACACAGAAATATAAGAATTTTACTCCAACATTGCTGCAGGAATCATCTCATACAGTTCAGTGTCTGTCTGGCGCTAGAATTAAGATGTTAGAAAGAGTTTATTGGTATCTGAAAAGAACCTCCTGCCAGCCACCTGCATGTTTTACCCATGCTATAGTCATTATAGTTTATGTGATTTTCAAAGATTTTAACTAAACCTCAGTACAAACTATACAACATTACAAGAGAATAGAAATATGGATATGAGTGTCCACATACTTTGTTTTTTGTTTTCTAGTGCTTCTGCTACAACCTGCTTAAACTGCTTTAAGCAGGTTTTCATGTTTTTGCCTTATTTTAGTTTAAAATAAGGCTGATACTCAGTTGCTGTTCCGTTCTACTATAAATTACCAGTCTAATTTTGATTAAATGCAAATCTGTGAAAGTCCATACTACTCTTTTCCTCTTCCTGTGAGTCTCCCTTAATGTCTTGCTGCCTCTCTTTTTCTATCTCTAGTAGTGTCTTAGTCTCACAGCAGTACCTGTAGCCTTGAAGCTTAAATCTTTAATGTAAACCGGTAATGAAGTACCAGCTTTAGCTTTCTGCAGAGATCCCTCTTCACTCCCTGGAGGGTAGTTGAAAGAAAAAAGGGATAAATGGAGGCACAGAAACTGATACAAAAGGGAAAGGAAGGATGACTCAGTCCAATATGTTCTGTTAAAAGGAAAAAAAACAGAGGAAATGGAGAGAATTGGATTAGAGGATGAAGGAGAGCACGTGCTTGTGTTACAATAGGCAATATAGTGCAGTAGCACCTGGGATAAGCAAAGGTTCCTGTTGGAAAATGGATCCGTTCCAGGAACTACTAGCTAAGACTAGTAGAGCACACAAGAATCACACACAAACTTGAATTGTTGATGTATACAGACAGGACAAAAATATCTTTACTGGCAGGATGATTTAAACTGTCCATACAGACCAACCCGTGGGATTGTCTTCCTGTCCATCTTGTTCTTGTGTTGCCAAAGTTATTCTGTCTAAAAACCTGCTGGAATTTATTGGAACAATACTCAACTCTTTATTTTATTTTTCACTGTTTCCTCTCTGCCATCCCTGCCCTTTCCTCTGCTGCCACTCTGTCTCTGCAGGCCTGAATGAGTGTGCAGACAACAACGGTGGCTGCTCCCACATCTGCAAGGACCAGAGAATTGGTTATGAGTGTGACTGCCCCTCTGGCTACAAACTCCTGGATAAAAAGACGTGTGGAGGTAAAGAGAAAAAAAAAGTGCAGCAGAGCTCCTCATACCTTGGTCCAGAGAAGCACGACCAAAGGGCAGTGACATTAATCAGCTGAACTTTATCTGTGCTATTCTGTGGTTGTTTTGTTCGAGGGTACTTTTAACTATGGCCATTTTCAGGTCCAAGGAAAACATTAACATGATTCATTAAACACTGCTGTTTAAGATTAGTTGCATTTGCTTTACCCGGTTGAGACAAAAATCTAGTATGATAACTAACTTAAATGCAAAAAATGGGGTTAGCACTCTGGAGTAAACTGCTTCATCTGAAGCTTGTCTTTTATGCATGTTGTAGCTTATTAATTGCATGCAGACATTCTGGATTTGGGAGCATGAATAAGTTATTTTAACAACCAGTCTCCTTAGCGAGGTTGCCAGGTCCAGAATGTAAGATGAGGCATTTGTAAAATGTTGGGATGCTGATGATCAGAAAGTGTTCCACCATAAAAAACAGATAAATGATGTACAGAAGAACAAAACAACAAAACATCAGTTCACAAAAACTGCTACTCCCTATTCAGTACTAATTACATTTTCACTGATTACCTAATGGGTCCGCCCACCCATTGTTACAGCCCTAGCAGGACCTCCTCCTGAAATCGTTCTTGTTTGGATGTGTCCTGCCATATCTCCTGCCTTTGGTGCCACCGTTTTTGTACGGCTGACTCCAATCAGCAATTAAGAATGCTTAAATCCAGAGAAAATTGAGCTCTAGGGCCAGAGAGAGCTTTGTTGGGTTGTAGCTGGTGAGCTGTGAGTATGGTTGTCTATTGCTCCTACTCTGTGGAGAGGAGTGTGTTTTGGTACTAACCCCCTTTGACTTATTTTTAGTTTAGTGATGATCACCTGAGTTTTGTTGTTTTCTTTCTTCAAAAGGTAATAGTGGCTGGTCTGTCTCTTTTAGTTTAGTTATTAATAGAAACATTAATAAAAATCTGTTAATGTAATCATTTTGCCTCTCTGCCTCCTTTTTTCAACCCGGACACCTTTGTTACTTTCCCTCAACCACTGGACCTTTTTAGGGGACCAAGAGGGGGCTTGTCCGGGATCGCTGAAAATGGGAGTTTTGGAATTGTTAGCATTTGGTTTCTGATTATTTTGCTTGTAAATGGCTTGTGAAATGATGCGGAAACAAAGTTCAGCACTAGAAACCGAGAATCAGTTCAACTTACTGCTAGCTATGTGACTCAAGCTCTCATTACAGTTGTACAGGGACCAGATAGCCCTTAACAAAGGGGCTAATACCACATACTCCAGAAGCAGCCCCTGCGGACACAGCAAGCAATGCCATTGAATGCCCTCTCTAAGTTAATAAGACAATAGTTGAGCAAAATCCCACGTCCCCTTAAATATGCTTAATGGGATGCAGAGCTTGTCCCGTGTTCCACAACCAGGACAAAAGCTGCATTGTTTCTCCTTAAGTTAGGGGCCGACTACTGGATGGACTCTCCTCTCCAGTATCCCAGCACAGACCATCCTAGATAGGCTGAGAAAATCGGATCCCCCTGAAGTTGTAACATACCCTCTGGTGCCCTTTCTTGAAGAGGGGAACCACCATCCTAGAGGGCAGTCTAGAGGCACTCTCCCCAAGTTCTATCCAATTTTGCAGAGGTATGTCAGTTGAAACAGTTCAGAACATCCAGAGGCTTACAAACTCGAGTCCAGTCTCATCCACCCTGGGCACCTTCCACCATGGAGTTGTTTAACTACTTCAGTGATCTTGCCTCCAGTATTGGGAGGTTCATCTCCTTTGTCCCCAGATTCTGGTTACGCTGACTTTGGAGGACCTTGACCTGTAGCTTTAAATATGACCCTGAATGCTTTCAGAAATGTCAGATTTTCAATTTTTGCTAATTTATTTGGTTTAAGCTGTTTCCATATACAAACGTGTTTAACATCATTTCTATTATCCAGTTAAAACAGTGTTAGTCTGTTTTTCAAAAATATTAGTGTTACAACATTCAAATTTCTCAACAAAAGATCTCTCTCTTTTTTTGAAGTGAGGATCCTGCTGAGAAAGGTTGTTAACATGCTAGAAACAGAAAATATTAGCTCTTTTATGTCTCAGTCTCCAGAGAAATAGGACTGTGTGTGTCTACAGTTATGTTGTTTGATCTTTATGTCTTTGTGCCATGTTTCTCTCTGCAGACATAGACGAATGTGAGAACCCAGATGCCTGCAGTCAGATCTGCATCAACTACAAAGGGGATTACAAGTGTGAGTGCTATGAAGGTTATGAGATGGACCCTGCCTCTAAGACCTGCAAAGCCGTAGGTAGGGCATTTATCACACACACATTTTTGGAAGTGAATACACACACTGTCATTGATGGAAGCTCCCACCAAAATACAGTCGCACATACATATGAGGAATCACACATAGAAACCAACTCTCACATATTCAGCAACGGCGCTCCGACTCTAGCGCCGACTACCCAGTCACATCCTACGCAGTTCTCACACAGTGGCACTCCGTGAAAGGAGAGTATTGCTTTGTATGCAGTTCTTGCACAGCAATCTGTGCAAAGATAAATATTTGCCATCTTTTTTCTGCAGCTCTCACTAATGAAAGTTTGCAGCCAGCTGCTTTTGCTCTCCCCAGAGTGTTAAGGGAAGGGTGTTATTTGGGGAAAAGGTCTGCCCATTCAATGCAGGACACAGTCAGGGTCTCTACCCATTGTTGGCTACAGCAAATACACTGAACAGCAGTTTGAATGAAAATAAAATCTTGTCCTCTAAGCTGCACTTGGCAAGTTTGCAACTGAAAGGAAGTCTTCCTTAATGCTATTCAAAACACAACTGTACATGAGCCCGTTAGGTATACATGAGACTTGTTTGAAAGCACAATTTGGGTTCTTCTAATCAGTTCGCACAGTTTTCAGTCTGTTAGAGCTGACCTTAAAGATAACAATCCTGTGGTTACCAAGCCTTTAAGTACCTGCAGATAATGTTTCTATATATTTTACTTTAAGAAGTACAGGAAACAGACTGTCTAGAACAGGGGTAGGCAACTCCAGGCCTCAAGTGCTGGTGTCCTGCAGGTTTTAGATATCACCCTGGGTCAGCACACCTGAATTAAATGGTTAGTTCATAACCAGGCCTCTGGAGAACTTCAAGACATGTTGAGGAGGTCATTTAGCAATTTGAATCAGCTGTAATTGACTAAGGACACATCTAGTCCTGCAGGACACCGTTACTCAAGGCCTGGAGTTGCCGACCCCTGGTCTAGAATGTGTTAACGGTGCATGCTTTCAAGTTTTTAACCTTATTAGCATGTCCCTACGATGTGTTGTTTCTGTGTTCAAAGACATATCGGTGAAATAAGCAGGCAACACAGTAGGTGACTAGCCTGACTGAACAAACCAGAACAACATGTTGCCTATGTTGCCACTGTAAAGTTCACTTTTCTTCTTCTTCCTATTTTCCAAAATCATTTAACAGCTCAAACACGGATGGCTGAGGCATGGCCGAATTAGTCCAATATTGCAACTTATTTAGAGTAGAGACACAGAAGCAGACGTGGGTGGCTAGTATGCATCTCTTATATATGCATGAATATTCAAAGAAGTGAACATGCAAAGTTGCATCTGTACGGTGGCCCTGAGAGTCAAACGGACTACAACTTAAGAAAACACCAGCAGTAAGAAAAACGCTGCAAAAGCACACAAAACACAACGGAAATAGGAAAAAACACAAGGGAAGTGTTTCTGGGGAGACAATAACCTGACGGACCAGTTGCAGGAACCCAAAACATGGTAGGCGTGTTTTATCATGATTCATATAATACTGATGACGGATTATTAGGCTAATAGTTAGACTAACACACTTACCTCTCATCTTTTCTTTCCTCACAAAACCAATAGATCCTCCACTTCTGTCTCCCAGCGCAGTTCTTGCCATATTTTGGTTCCTGCAACTGGTCCGTCGGGTTATTGTCTCCCCAGAAACACTTCTCTTGTGCTTTTGGAAATCAGCTGTTTCCTATTTCTGTTTTCATGTTTCCTATTTCTGTTGTGTTTTGTGTGCCTTTGCAGCGTTTTTCTTATTGCTGGTGTTTTCTTAAGTTGCAGTCCGTTTTGCCTCTCAGGGCCACCATACATCTGAGCCATATGAAGACATTAAGGGATTGCTTTTACAAAAAAACAAACAAACTTCTAAATATGCAATTTTAGTTTTCAATTTAAACTTTTACGGATAGGTACCTGCTATCTTGCTACATGTGCTAACGATTTAAAATATATATACATTATATTTCTAGGCTAGAAATTACCTCATGTTCTGGTGATGTTAATTCCTTTCTACTCTCTATTTACATACATTGAGAATGGAACTTTTAACTGATTGACTTACACAGCAAATTACTTTTCGGCGAGAGAGAAAAGAGTGTTATTAGTAATTACGGTCTGAGGTTAAGTCATTACAGGGTAAACTGGTCTGGTAATGAGTGCTTAAAGCAGAAAACAGACTTTCACTTCTAACCTAAGTGGCATAAAAAACAGCATTGATTGCTTTGTGTCTCTGTGTGGGAATCTTTATTACTGTTAGCTAGAGCAAACATCCTTATTGGAGGCCAGGCCATTTATAAGATGGCAGCATGGAGAAGCAGAAGAGAAATGAGATGGATACTTACGCGGTATATGACTTATTTCTCTGCTTGTGTATACATACTGTTCATCATTACATAGCATAGCCAAAGGAGACAAAAAAGGAAGTCTGAAATGTGACTGGATGGATTCCTGTTTAAGTTGAGGATTGTTTATTCAGAGGAACAAATCGGGTTGGGACCATAAGTACAGGGATGCCTGTTTTGTGAAGCTGAGGTAATTTGGATTTAATGAAGCTGCATTTTGCTTATGAACTCATTTCTAGACTCGCACGTGCGCAGCAACAGAAATCACCGTACATGTACACAGCGCATAAGTAGTTATTTTGAGGAGTCACGTCATGATTTCTACACAAATGCAATTCCCCTGCGACTGACTGGTTAGGAGGAATGTCACGTTCTGCGATGAGATAGGAAACGAACCCGGTGCCAATATCATATGCACATATTGAAGTTCAGAAGCTGTCATACTCATATCATCTGAAGGTTATTAAAGTTGCATATAAGTCCATTTTTAGATATGCTGTTGCTGTGAGTTGAGTCTGTCTAGGTAATTGTGAAAACGCTACGATGTGTTTGGTGTACAGTAACTGCGTTTCATTTATAATCCTAGAATGCACTTTCTGTCTCTGCAGATTCATTTCAGAGTAATACACAAGTGTTACACCAGCAGTGCTAATTCAAAGTAACATCTCAGGCTGGAGTCATGATGTGACTTCTTTTCTCAGCTCTGTGTGTGTGAGCATTATATGACAGCATCCAGGAAATTGACCAGATAGTCTCGTTTTTAGCTAATGGCAGCAAAGCAGGATGTACACACTGACGAGGTGAACCATACATGCGTGCATACTTGCAAATTAGGCCAGTCATGGCAGACGGCTGTCCCTCCCTGGTTCTGCCGGAGGTTGTTCTTTCCCACTGTCGCCGAGTGCTTGTTCAAAGAACTTGGCAACATTGATTGTTGGGGTTTTCTCTGTATTATTGTCGGGTCTTTACCTTAAAATATAAAGCACATTGAGGTGACTGCTGTTGTGATTTGGAGCTATAAATAAAACTGAATTGAATTTGATATTTTATCCTCCGGAGTTTGTCACTTGTTCACTACAATTAGCAAATCTAAGTTGTAACAATAAAATTAACTTCGTACTAATTAACACAGGCTTAGTGGCTGTATTAAAAAAAAACCCTATTTAAAATACTTCAATTAAAGTCTGTGAAATTAAAAGAAATATAAATGAATACAATGGCGAAGGGTGTAACAGCTGTGGGACTACATAACAGGTACACTCGATAAATGCACGACAGGCTGCGGCAGTGATGCAGAGGAAAGTTACAAACTGCCTTTGGTCCAAAGTGTTGTGTTATTTTTCTGTTCTCTTGTTTCGTTCACTTGTGTCTCGTCATCTCTCTCATCTGTAGTGTACTGCAGGCTTCACCTCAGAGCTGAGAACAATTTGTACCTTTCTTGACAGTTTGATTACACACTTCTCAGAAAGGTTTTAAAGGACTGGACAAATTCTTTCCCCCCCCATTGTCAGAAGATTTTGCCACAGGACCAAAAATGTTGCTGAATAATGTCAAAACTCATCAAAAGTTGTGTCTTGTCTTCAATTATGATGTTATTTAGCATTTAATTCTGTTTGTCTGGAAAGAAACTGGTCAAATTAAACCAGAATTAAGGTTCAAATTTACACATCTTTATTCTGCTACTTTAACTGATCTATTAAGCACATCGGTGTTCTCATCATGAAAGTCCAGGCACCGACAATTTTTTATATATAAAATATAAATAAAATATAAAATATAAGCACATGTGGCCTTTAACCACAAAAATAACGAAGTGTTATGTAAGCTGCTTTGTGTTAACGAATGACAGGAAAGTTGAATGACTTTTGACACAGCTGTCGATGGGAAGTTCATTTCTGTTCTCCGCTGTCGCATCTGTTCGTCATTATGTAGCACGGTTTGTAAGTCTTAACAACAAGTCTTAACAAGCACTTCTGACCTTGACGTGCGTGCATTTTTCCAGACATACCATCATCCTATTTACCTCCTCTAGTGCTGACCAGTTCACAAAAGCTGCAGCTAAACATCGCTGTCAGCCTGCAGAATTTCTCACCATTATTTCTGACCTTTTTGTCTGTCTTTTTTGGGGGGGGGATTTCTTTTTTTATTTACCTCTTACTTTGTGAAGCTCACAACATAAACACCTGGAAATCAGTGCTCCTGCAGCATCTAACAGTGTTTCCCAGGCTGCACATCCTTTTGCAGCTTTATCTTAATTGGCTGATGGGGCAGAGCAGCCCTGAACGAGCACTGCAGATTAAAATATATTTACGGAACCATGTTGCTGTTCAGATAGCTGACTGTAGCTTTGCAGTATCTTGTAGAAGAGATAATCTTGCACTTTTTGATGACATCTGTAGTGCTGGGGCCTTTTGGAAAACAGTGACTCAGCTTCTTTTTTTCTTTTTTTTAAAAAATAAACTTCAGAAGGACATATTGCTGTGACAACACCGATGAGGGATAAGAGATATTGTCGTGAAAAAGTGAGTCTGTGGGGATTGATGAAAGACATGTCGGAGTTATCCATGTCCTCATTATACAGGCTTCAAAATGTTCTTACTTTTCTCTCTCTTTTTCCCACTTTCCCATGTTTTCACTTGTTTTGTTGATGGCTTTTTCCTTCGTCCTTCCTTAATTACATCCTCTTAATGATCTTTTCTCCCTGACTTTACCTGCATTTGTCAGATTTACTTGCGCTTGCCTGTTCCTTTGTCTCTCTCTCGCTTTCTCGCTCGCTCGCCCTCTCAGCAGGGGAAATTGATGATTACAAACCAGCAGTAAGAGAAAAATGATTGGATCCTAGCAGTAGTAGAACTGTAATATTTTCTCCTTGTGCAGTGGCCTGTAATAAACCAGGGCTGAGGAAACCTGTCAAAGCACGGTTGAGTCTGTGTGAAAGTAGGAGTTTGTGCTGTCTGTGCACGCTCGAACGTTGCTGCCGGCCGGCTTTGTCTTGTTTGAATGCTGTTTTGATTTTTGTGGACAGTGGAGAATAAAGATGACGTGACAGCTAGGACAGAGAACAAACGTGCTGGAAAATGTAATGGGAGTGGCAATCCAGGACACACCAGTGCTGCTAAATTAAAAGAAACATTGATGTCTTATTAGCTGCACTGTAGTGAGAGTCCAGGACTACATTTCTTGTATTTTAGGTTGAAAGTGCTTGATGACAAAAATATAGATGTCACAGCAACTCCCATGCTCACAAACTAAGGTATCTCTGTGTGCTAGAGTTGACCTTGTCACCTACCTAGAATTATTCAAATGCTTGAGCCATCCTCACCTTCAGTCAGCTGAAGTGTGTCCCCTACCAGGTAACTAATGTGCCAGCGAACGCCACATCCTGAATGCCCCTGAAAAAGAGAACCCAGCAATGCACTGTTGTACTTAAAATAGACTGTGGCATGGCTCTTGTTGGGTCACTTCACTAACAAGAGTAATGTAACTTTTTCCAACAGTAGGACACCACACTTGCATCTTTATTCCAAAACAATAGTCTTTAAAAAGGGGTGTGTGTTTTCCATGTGGACTGAATCATACCACATACATCATTTTCCCTGTTGTGCATAATTGTGTGAAAAACTCACTCAATAATATGATGTTGTTCTAAAATCTATGTGTAGATGGGAAACATTATTATTTTAAAGGGGTTGTTTGGATACATAATTTATGTTCACATCATCAAAAATACATGCTTTAAGGACCTAAATAGTACAAATGCAAAACAAGAGTACAGTTGGCTTACATTATGTTCCCTTTTGGGAATAAGGCTAAACACTCAGCACTACCCACGGTATCTTTGTACACAACAGTATGTAGGTTATTAGACTGGTGAAGAATAGCAAAGGGAAACACTAGAACAGCCTAATTTGTATGTGTGTTAACAAAATGTCACAATGTTCCCAGGAATGGGCGTCCCAATAAATTCCTCTTAAGGTCAGGCCATGCAATGCCCAGAGAAATTGCTTAAAACCCCAAGAGCTACATCTCAGACTTTAAAAAAACCCTGTTAGGGTGTTAAATGTTAAAGTTCATGACAGTTCATGATGCCACAAAAAGATTGAACAAGTGTGGCAACAGCCTCTTCTCTTAAGAAAGACAGCGGCAAACACACCTTAGCTTTACAGAGTTCATCTGAGCAAACCACAAGACTTCTGGAACCATGTCCTGTGGACAGATGAGAACAAAGTGGAAATGTTTGGCCATAATGCACAGCCCCACGTTTGGCAAAAACCAAACACGACATAATCAACACAAACACTTCATACCAACTGTCAAGCACGGTGCTGTATACCAAAGTATTTTAGAATCAAATATGAGGCCATCTGACTGACAGCTAAAGCTTTACCCAAATTCAGTCATGCTACAAGACAATGATGTCAAACACAGCAGCAAATCTATAACAGAATGAAAAAGAAAAGAAGGAAGGTGTTGCAAAGGTCCAATTAAGGTCATCCAGACCTACACCCGAGTTATGCATCATCCTGCCAAAACTCAATGAACTGAACCAACGTTGTGAACAGTCAACCAAAGTTCTTCAGTAGCTTCAAGTTATTGCGAAGGTGATTCTACAAGCTACTGAATCATGAAGAGTACTTAGTTTTTCAGAGGACTGCATAGAGTCCTATCAGAACTTCGGCTTTCACGTGATTGTGTAGATTTGAAAACTGTGGAGCAACGACTGCAAAGGCTTTGTCACCTCTTTGCTTGAGGCATGACCTTGAGACATGTACAGTAAGTGGCCTTCACCAGTGGGTCTGTGAGACTGGGAAATATTGGTGAATATAAATGAATAAGACTGGTAATACAAGCTAGGGGCCGCCCATTAAGAGCCTTGATCAAACAATCATAAACTGAATTCTAAAATGAGGCACGATGCCAATGCAGAGAGGCCAGGACTGGAGTGATGTGCTCATACTTTCGGTTCTAGTCAGCAGTCTAGCTGCAAATGCCTATAACAGTACAGATTCACAAGTTCAGCTTTCACGTACAGGTATTTTGCAAGGGTAACAAATATTTCCCTGTGACATACCAAGAGCAAAAGCAGTACAAACGGCCCATATTTGGTAGGTTTCTAATTTAGAGTCACAGCAGTGGGTTACAGGGCAGATGAGCTGTTCTGTATAACTTCTCTGTCCAGTGGTTTCATTGATGGTAACATAAACATCTTTCCTTTCCCAACAGGAAAGAGTCCGTACCTGCTGTTCACTAACCGTCATGAAATCCGTCGTATTCACCTGCTGAAGAGTGAGTACACACAAGTGGTCCCTACACTGAAGAATGCCGTGGCCCTGGATGTGGACGTGTCCACTAACAAGATGTTCTGGTGTGATCTGTATCATCAGAAAATATACAGGTACACACACATACAGCACGCACACACAATGACAAGTTATATTTATTTTTTAAATTATTTATTTAACCCTATCAGGTACTGCTAACTGAAAACGCACTGCGTCACTAACCCACTAGATTTTGCTGGATCATTCTGTTTAATTGACAGAAAAATGATCTATAATTGTATATTTCAGTGTAATTATTGAAATGCTGTAAATGATGTGTATATATTCTGTCTATAACGGCAGAGGAAGCCCATATAAAACGATGAAAGCCACTGTATAGACGCAGGACCTTAAAGTTAGATAACTCACTTTTGTCATTCTTCAGCCAACATGTTCATTATCTTTCTCCTCTATCCATCCATCTTGTGTGCTTCAACCTGTCACACCTTCTGGTAGTGAGTCAGCCGCACCTGTTTGTCCTTCGCACACACTGTGTGAGTCTGTGTGTGTGCACATATCATAGCTTTGCACATACATTTGTGTGTGTGTTTGTGTCACCCTGATGGCTGACAGGTTGTGGGAGGGGCTTTCTATCATCTCAGCTGAGCCATATGCTCTCACTAATTTCACTGCCTCAATAATCGCTGCCATTATTCATCTCCATACACACACATTCACACGCAGACATTCTCCCACACAAACTTGGTAACACAGTCAAGGGCTTGTGACAGGGAACGGACAAATGAACTCATTTTTCACAGCGAAGTCTATTTTTCGATGCCGTAAATAAACTCACATATCAAAAGTTGCTTTAAGTAGCAAACAGCGAGGGAAGTTATACAGCTTAATCTACTTGGCGTTGTCCTTGATGGTGTTTTCTTTTCTCTAATCTTTCAAAGCAAAATCTTCTGCACTTGCACCCAAGTGCATAGCATCAGAATCAAGTTTTCCTGCTGTTTAGAATATCTGCTCTTTTTGACGTTACCATATATTTTCTTTTCTCCTGTAACGCCACAGTAGAATATATGTAAGCAAATTGTCCAAGTTGCCTTGGTGACAGATCTTAACCCCAGGTAGAGATGAAATTAGAAATTGGAGCTTATTAGGTTGGACTACTATCAGTAAATTGTGGGGGTTTTTTTAATTTATTTAGTTTTGTTCCCTGATAAGGTGATATACGAAATAGTTAGGCTTATTAAAGTCTGCACTACTCATTCACCCTCAATGTGATAATGTGGTTTTCCAGACTAATTCATAGTGATTAGCATGCCACGGGTCGATGACTTGTTACCTTCTCCCAATGATGGAGATGTCTGTTGCAAACAATGGTTCAACCAATTAAACATGCAATCTGCTCAGTGGACTTGGACTCATCTGTCTCTGTCTTATTCTTCACTGTGCCCGAAGCCTCTGTTCAGCCCACCAACCTGTTCAACCTAAGTCTATGTGAAGATTTTCTAACTCAAATTAAGGACATAGTGAAATTAGAGTGAGTAAAAGAATATGAAGTGGATATAAAACATCTTCATAGCACTGTCAAAATATCTGGATTTGTGATGTTGAGAAAATATGACCCCAAGAAAAATGACTTCAGAACTTTGTCCATTTTTAATGTGACATACATAAATTAAAAGCCATGGTCCAGAAAAAGCTTATAAAGCGTTAACGAGATCTCATGATTTAAAGGTATCAGTCAGGAGAAGGGTACACAAGAATGTCCAAGCTGTAAAATATACCATAAAATACATTGTGTTTTACTCAAAATGGACAGAAATATGAGCAGTTCCAATACTGATACCAATTTGGCACAAAAACTTAAAGCAGCTGCTAGATGAAAATGATGAGGAATTTCACCCTTTAGCACAACAATGACCCAAATCATCCAATTCTACAAAAGAATGTCTTCACCTGATGATTAAAGTTTTGGAAAGACTTAGACCTGAATCCAAATCAAAACCTGTGGGGTGACCTGACGATGATTTGTGGTACTTTTGCAAAGAAGACTGTTAAGTATTGCCAAATCAAGAGACTCAGTGCTGTGGCAAACTCCTAGCCAAAAAGACTGAACGGTGTAGTAAAATCAAAAGAGGTATTTAACAGTATTTTAGTCTAAGGCTGCGCACATTTGTGCAGCCAGGTAATTGTAAGTTTTTCAGTGATTGTCCCCCACCCAAATAGAATTGAAGAGTGACTGTGAATTGTGCAGGTTAAACTTTAGAATCAGAATCAGAATCAGAAT